AGGACCCCCGTCAGGGTTTCATTGCCGTCTGTATCTCCACTAGGCTCCATTTTACCTGTAGATAATTGGCACCAGGACTGAAAGTGAGGGGAAATCACAAATTCTGTTTTGCATTCAAAACAGGAATAGAAAGAAGATGTTATAATATGGATACTGGTTGCTGTAACAACTGTCTAAAAGGCATTTCTCTCATCTTGGAACAATGTTAATTTTTCTGTGCCTAAATGGTAAGAAGTGAAGGAAACTCTCTACAATGAGACACAGATGGCAAAAAAAACTGACAGGTGTTTTAACTATTCCCTGTTCTTTCCAAAATGTAAAAACATGTACTTACCTTAAAATCATTTTTTGTTAGGTCCATTGAGGGACACAGAAATATAGTAATTATTGGACATGTGTGGTATACTGCCAGGAGGTTGGAACACTAGCAAAACATGAGCCCTGGTATAACCCTGCCTCCAACCATCATGCTTCAGTTTTGTGAGAAAGCAATACATAAAGCCAACAACACAAAGGCCAGGACCTGTGTTCCTCAATGGACTTCAAGAAATAGATTTTTTGGTAAGTACAAAAATCTTATTTTCTTTATTGCCCATCAAGGAGCAAATGAATATAGTAATTCTTGGACATTTGGGATGCCCAAAAGCAAATCAACTGAGGGGTGGGAAACAGCCACTAAGCGATCCAATGAATGTGGTATCATACTATTAGGGATGCACCAATACCTATATTAATATTGTATTTGTACTCGCCCAAATGCTCCAATACATAACTCCTGGAGCATGGAGCCGGCTTCCTTTTCAATCGGGAAGCTGGGCGGTGGGTTATGACCTGCTTTCTGGCTTCCTGATTGGCTGGAAGCTGGCTTCACTTGTTGCTAGGCAGCTTGGCGTCCTAACCAAGCCGGGCAGCACGTAATGACCTGCCTCCCAGCTTCCTGATCAACCAGGAAGCCAGATGGAACCTCATGACCTGCCGCCCAGCTTCCTGATTGGTCAGGAAGCCAAGCAGCCTTGGCAAGTGAAGCCAGGTTTCTTTCGATAGAACACCAGCTTTGCAGGCAATCAGGAAGCTGGGCAGCGGGTCTTGATCTGCCACCCGACTTCCTGATAATTGGGGCACGTGGCACCGGTATCAGTACTCAGTATCGGCGAGTACCGGAAATATCGGTACTCGTACTCTATACCTGAAAAACCAATATTGGTGCATCCCTAATACTATAAAGAGCATCCACAAGAGACAATTCCTGAACAAAGGCTAGATGAAAAAGGCGAAAGTATGCAATTGCTACAGCCAAGGAAAGGCACAGATAATCATCTTGGTGTTCCAGAATAGGACAGATAGCACCATTGGGGAGTAGCTGCTATCTGAGAGAATGATGGGCAGTAATGTGGAAGATAACCAATCATTCACTATATAGAAAAAACAGGTCAAACAACAACTACCTAAATAGGAGAAGAGTGGCTACCACAGTGCACAAAGGTTGGGAAAGTGCCACAAACAGAGCTTTGTGTCTGGAGGTCACATTCCAGGCTAGCCCCACAATCTATGGTCCAGCAGGGTCCAGGTACGACCTTCAAAGCTATTGCTAAAGATTTGCCAATCCAGATAGCTGCTGTATACAGACAAGTTCAAGCAGCATATTAGATGTCTTCCCTTAAAGGCTTGACCCTGCACTATGAGCAAGTAAGCTGACTTATAAAATCAGGTAGTTTTAACATTGAAAACCCATTGCTAATTGTTATGTTAAGATATAGAGTTAAAGGGTATGTCCAGCAAAAACCTCTTCTTTTAGTTTTGGATATAGTGAGGAGTGTTAGAGCAATGGTTTCAGCAGGCAAGAAGTAGGGAAACATCTGCAACAGGAACATTGGCAGCAATATAAAGCCTTCCCCTACTCTATAAAAGATATTGCTGTGTTGCTGTTGGAGATTTATGCTCAAGTAAAGGGAAATCTCTCTAATGAAGCTCCAACTAACAGGGGTTTTTTAGTGATAAAGAAAATAAAAATCAGCTGCAGAGACCCGGTGGGCAATACTGGTGACTAGTCCTTTGCTCTCTACTTACATTTTTGTTATGCTTACAGCTTCCACAGATCAGGGGTTTAGCTAAAACAGAGTCCCCACAACAAATCTGGAAGGGCATATTAACACACTCAGGCATGACTTTAAAAAAACTGAGAAATAGCTCCTATGATATAATGAATAAACATGGGTGGCAATACAAACAATCTAAAGCTTTACTGATCTTGCCAATGTTTGGTTACATTCATTAATTTGTGCTTTTGTACTATATAAGCCAAAATTGCCTTCTAACCAAAGTTTGGCACTGAGGACTGCGCCTCCCCCCAACCCCATGCCTTTGTACAATTGTTAAATTAAAATGGCTCATGACGGACATCTGAAAAAGAGACAATGTACAAGAATAAAAATCTCAAAATATTTAAGCAATGTTTTTGCAAGGCCAGTGTTTGGCAATATCAAACCATTTACCTGCCCGGCACGCTTTCTCTCAACTATTTATTTGTCATGACTTGGAATTTGAAATATGAGTTGTCAGAAGTCTGTGAGCAAATCCAGTACAAGGCAACAACAAAATAAATAAATAAAGGCATGTGAATGCTAAGCTGGGATTTTACTGTTGCTATAGAAATGCCGTGATGAAAGTGACAATTGAAAAGCATCTTGTACTTGATAGCGACAATGAAAGACACAGAATTATCGGCATAAAAAGCAGGGACGAATAATAAAGACGAGATGGAGAAATGCAGTACAAGAGACAGGGCCCATTAGGAAGTATGCAAGCTGGCAAGTGTCAGCTTATTTATATTCTGTTAATGCAACACGGCATTGCTCTGTATTTGCACTTTTCTCTTAATTGGAGTCAATGTGCTCTACAATCACAATACAAAGTAGAAAATAGTGAATTATCCACAGCAACTAGAAATCTTCAGTAATGAAATGGCTAGGAAAATAGGCATTAAAAGCTGGTAAGTATCTTAAGAGCTATGTTTATAGAAAACGTTATAGTAACTGAAAAATAGCTGTTCGGTTATTTCATACAGACAAGGTAGTGGACAATATATGTATAAAATCTAGAATAAGATTTTATTTAAATGCACCAGGAAAAGCCAACACATTTTGGGGGTTACAAAGGTACCTTTCTTCAAGGTTGAATAAGAACAAAGATTGAAAACTGGGCTGGACTAAGGTATCAAAAGCGGGGTATTTGAGCTTGTGTGAATCTTGTTTTTACTCAGGCTCGGCAGCTGAGTGGATTTCATTACAGAACCAGATTTCAAAGTTAGGACATCAGCTTGATGTATCAGATGGCACGTGAGCAACATTGTCAGTAACGATACCTCGATCCCATGTTATGATGGCACAATAACAAAAATCTCACTAGTTGTAGCATGCTTGTGCATTTGTGATTTGCTTTTTCATATAAACTATTGCAATATCCTTATAAGATTCTGTCCTGTTCCAAGTAATCCATTTGTAAATTAAAACCAAGCTATTGACATCTCATAATGGTACCTAATAGGATTGGTGATGATGATGATGATTTTGACAGTCTGAGAAAGAGGGTATGGGAACATGCTAGGCAATCCATTGGGGGTCTGTAAAGGTTGAAAGGTTGAGAAACCCTGTTTTAAAGCGTGGATGACAGTATGGAAGATTTCCAACTAATTTTTCTTACATATCTCCAGTATTTTAGTGCCACAATATCGCCTTTCGAGTTGCTGCCATTATTTATTCAATGGATGAATGAGGTAGCAAGGCTCCACCTAACAGATTCTCCATAGGAAAGGAAAAAGGGAGTTCTATGATTGCAAGACATCAATAGCCACTTCAGGAACTGCGAGTATATGTAGTGGAGAAATTCTGTTGCTCGAGTACCAGGAAAATACAAAAAGCCAGTTGTCTGTGCAGCTCTGACACTCCCTCTTTCCAGTATACAATAACTGATATACTAGTTAAATGGTTGCATAAGGGCATTTACACAAGATTCACACAACTTTCACCCAAGATTCATACACTTTTCTAATTGGATTCATCAGGCAAATGCATGAATCCTGGGCAGAAGTTGTGTGTAGCTTGTGTGAAAACATTTATCAATAGATTGTTGTCTGCGTCTCTATTGGGGAGATTTCCTTTCAGTTCTTTGGAGGACGGGACAAAGAAATGTTAACTCATCCCTACTCCATCCAAAGCTAAAAAAAAGCAAAAAATATTAGGCTTTAAATTTGTTTGGATTTTCTTTATAATTATGCAAGATATTTTTACTTGAACCCTATCTGAAGCCCACAAATTGCAAATTATGTTACACATTCTGCAGCTATGTTTTATTATTATTTTAGAATAACATCACAACACTCTAGAGTTTAATAAAATAGTATACAAACCTTTTTTTTTCTACAGCAATGGTCCATTTATATTTTACATTAAAATATCTAATAGACATGGCTTCTGTAACTCGTATCCTCTGTTCAGTATTGCTAAAAATGTACAGTCCATCCTACCTTGTATAGGACTACAGCCATATCTAAAATATGAACTTAGAATGCAGTTTTAACACTGTTTAGCAGAAGACACCAACTTATGCCGGTTCTCACCTCATGATCTAGAAGATTCTGCTGCCAGGTGTGCATTAAATAATTCCACAAATGATAATAAGATGGTCTTGAGTTTAAGCACGAGCCCAGTGTCCTTTATATCATGTTATTCCAGAATTACATCACATCAACTTAGCAGATGTCCTCATTGTCCCCATCCTTAAGCCGGTTCCTGGCTCTGTTTGGCTTCAAGACAAAGTCTGATATTATCCAAATAAAGTTCCATAAGAAAGAGAACTTGTCCTCTGTGTTTAATAGACCTCAATTCCTCTATATACATGGAATCCACAGCTCTGGTATCTGTATTTTTTATTTTTTGACATACAGGACACAAAGGTAGACACAATGTCAGGTAATCATCCTGATTTTTGTTACTTTTTTTTTCGTTTTTGCCAAAAAATGCAAGCAAAAAAAGAAGATAAATGTTTGTTCTTCCATACAAACATCTTCAATATGAAGACAATCAAAACAATAAAGAGAAGATGGAAGTGTGCAGTGGCCTTCCTCCTTGATGCAGCAACTGTGTCAGAAATGTGGATACATGTGGCATCCATTCATGGGTGAAGCGGGCTTAATGTGGCATCCTCCGTCCTTTTGCAATTGTATGATGATGAAATTAAGCACCTTTATTTCAACCAATACCACTGATGTTCACAGGCAAGACCTTCTCTGGAAATGTCCAACCATTATGAAACATCAGCCATCTGCAAACACAGTGTAAATCCATCAACTGACATTTTTATGAAATATTTGTTATTTTCAGATTTGCACTGCTTCTACTTATATGAGACAAAGTATTGGCTGTTAGGTTCCTGACGGGTAGTCCACCATTGACCCTGACGTGTTACTTCTTGAATTGCAAAGTTCATCTTTCCCCACTGCCCAAACTTTTCATATCTTCAACCTCTTCTCTTTCCCTCCCCACCCTTGAAGGTTCCCTCACCCAACCCAGAGTCTCATGCCATAGAGGTGGGTGACTGGCTCATTTGGACCCTCATGGACTGAATACAGTTCAGGATTTTTTTCTGGTGTCCAGCTAATGTAATTCCTATCCTCAGAAGGTCCCTAAAAAGACAGAATAATATTTCAGAGATTAGATGAAAAAAAGACAAAAATAAAATCTAAATTTGAAACATGGCAATTCATTTACAATCTAAAATTAATTAAGCAAAGATACAAAGAGCTATGAAAGTGTTCCCCCTCACTCTTGTGTTAATATGACTTCAGAATATATATTTGCTGTTGTTGTGGAGGCAACTTTTGTGAAACTGCGTATAGTCAATTATGTCCAGTCAGAAATCTGGACAATTGTTGCAGTGTCATAAAGTGCAGCAGAAACATGCCTGGCCCAAACACAGCCAACTAGGACTTTCATGGTAAGGATAGATTTTTGCGGGCAAGGAAAGTCTAACATGAAAAGTGTGCCATGGTTCTTCATTGATTGGTTGGTATGGTGAAAGGATAAAGCTTTTAAAGGACATGGTTTATTGTGACACACATTTTCATATGTTCCAGTATCAGCTTCTTTTGTGACCCTTGGCATTTGGTCATATGACATCTTAGAGCTGCAAAAAAGTTCCCTTTGCTAGATGCTATTATTACAGGTCTGAACAGGTAGATAAGGTATGTATATAATGCCCACCATGTGTCACCGACTACAGGTCTCACTCCATTTGATGTCTGAATATTGAAGTATCTCCACTCACAGCCACCAGCCCAACATTTCTTATCAGTCTTAGCCCTGTTGTCAATCCAGCCCAGTCCTCACTTGGTAAAAATTACCCTTACTTATATATTGTTTAAACAGTGGCACAATGCATTTTAGTTTACAGGGATATTTTTGGTAGCAACCTCAAGCATCAAGTGATAGGTGTACCACTGGAGCTGCCACAATGTCCTGCACAGTACCCTCCTTTGCTGCTCATACTTGACTGGAGCTCAAAGGGTGACATGCGCTCTTTCTTCAACAGGCAGCAGTGGAAACATGAGAGGTATCTCACATTAGCTATTTGTAGCCCAAGTAGATGGACACATAGATACATACTCTGGAGTCATCTGGGCGACAAGCTGCAATGAGGTGTAACCAGAGCTCAGGAAGTTATCTCTGTACTGTCCCATTTTGATAGCACTCAACCAGTCATCTACTGAGGTAAAGGCTGTGAAGTCTGGGATGGAGCGGTCAAGCAGTGGCTGGGAAGGCCTGTAAAAATACAAAACAACATTAGCCTATAATGGTGGCACTTAGTGTTCAGCACAGTATATTACAGACTATAAGTAGTAGAGATGTGCGATTCGTTTTGGAAAAATTAGTTTTTCGGACGAATTTTCGTTATTCGGAGATTCGGATGTATCCGAATTTCCGAACAACAGAAATTATGAATGAAAACGAATCAGAATTTCCGAAAACAAAATATCAGACAAAATTAGTTAGCGGTAGCCTGTACGAATTTTCGTTTAAGCACGAATTTCCGTTGCAGCAGAGTGACATTATTTTTTTTTTTAATGTCACTTTGCTGCAACGAAACAAACAAAACGAAAACGGAACAAAATTTCGTACAGACTACCTCTAATGCATTTTATCCGAATCCGAATCCCGAAAAGAATTGACTTTCAGACCCGAATCCTGAAAAACAAAATAACGCAAAAAACAAATAAAAAAGAAACAAAACAAAACAAATTTTTGCCGATGCAAAATGTCTAATAAGTAGACAGCAGTACACACATACCTCCAAAGACAATACACGTCAATCATTATGTATTTGAAAAACAATCTTATAAAACAGCTCACCACATTGAAGTGCAACTATACTTTATTAGTAAAGGTGGATAAATAGCCCCTTGTCCATGGTTGATAGTGAGGAGGGGCTGTTGGAAGGGTGACTAGAGACAAAACCTGGCTGCAGGAGGGGTGAGGAGTTCCTAAGTAAGGTGGGATAATCAGAATGAAAATGGGTTCATGGACAATTAAGGTATTCAGAAGTGAGGGGTACAGTCAGGGTATTGAAGGAGTAGAGGGTGCTGGAAGGATGATTGAGGAAGGTGTTAACAATCCTCAGACATTTGTACACCTATTGCCACTCTCTCACAGATAACCATGAAAACAAAAGTTGTTAGCTGTGAGATTCTGTTAAAGAGACCCTGTCACCAGACCAGTCCTTTGAAAAAAAAAAATATTCACGTGAGATTATTTGTGCATTTAACATATTTTATGTATTTTTTTTACCTGTAAACCCCCTATCCTTGTGTAGACATCCAAAAGCTCTGAGAGTGCTGCTGGGTGTCGCCATCTTGGATGTGAAGTCAGCAGCTGTCACTCTCATTCACTCCTCCCCTGTCAGCTACATAAATGTTCAATTAAGAAGGTGAGGAACGGAGGAGCTGGGCCAGCACTGAGAGTAATTAGACACCTCCAGAAGAGGATGACATGCAAGAAGAGAGCAATATTTTGTGGAAAAGAAAAACCCTGCAAGTAAGCATTTAAAATACTTGATCTTTCTATGATATTAGCTGAATGTTTTAAGTTGGTGACAGGGTCTCTTAAGCCTTTGAAAGCATTTATGAACATGATACATTCATATGTACAAAAATGATACAGTCACAACATATGTATTACATGCATGACAGGCAAAGGGTTAAATAAAGGCCTAAGTGTATGAATCAGGCCTCAACATGTATAGCTTTGTTTGGCAGGTTTATCAAACCCAGGGCCTACTATCCAAACATAACACACCAGCCTGGAATACCATGACAACAGAATTTGAATGTAATGTGTGGTGTTGTTAAAAACCAAAATGCATGTCTTCTTCCAAATGTGTTTCATCCACTGACAGCAGACCTATGATCAGGACAGACTCACACAGCAGGGATGGTGGCCACTGTTTTGAGGCTGGCGGGGTTCCTGATCATCTTGTCCAGAGTATTGACGATGTCCCCAAAGCGCGGCCGGCTGTTTCGATCCTTCTGCCAACAGTCCAGCATGAGCTGGTGCAGGGCTGCTGGACAGTCCATGGGGGGAGGCAGGCGGTAATCCTGCTCGATGGCATTGATGACCTGTGAAGAGAGAAAGAATCGGTGAGAGGACAGCACTTCCAAAGCAAATGGCCATAAAACTGCAGACCAGAAGAGCCAATGACTGAACAGAGAACCATAAAACAGACATAAAAATTAAGAGAACAAATGTTGCATATATTATGTCTGTCTATCAGCTCTGTGTATACGGCGGAGATGGTTAAAATGCTATCAAACTCTTTACTGCAGGAACTTTATAAAGTTAAAGTATAACTCCAGACAAAACTTATTTTTCTAGTTTAAGATAAAGTAAAGAAGGGTTAAGACCTGCATTGCTCTGCAAAGAGTTTGCTTGTTCTCCCTATGCTTGCGTGAGTTTCCTCAGTGTACTGTGGTTTCCTCTCACACGCCAAAGACATATTGGAAGGTTAACTCGCTCCTGTCTAAAATTGTCCCTGTATGAGTGTGAGATAGGGACTTTAGATTGTAAGCTCCTTGAGGGAAGGGACTGATATACATGTACAACTATGGAAAGTGCTGCGTAAATTGTAGGCGCTATATAAATACCTGTCATAAATAAACAAAAGTTTACCAAAAAAACGCCATTGTGTTTTTATTGCTGTCTGTGTCTCTGTTAGGGAGATCTAATTTTACAATTTCTCATTGCCATTGTCAGAGGAATAGAAAGTAAGGAGAAATCCGAAATGTTATGGTTGCCGCCAAAACAGGAGAAGAAGTGGTATGAGGACATTTGTTTCTCTGACAACTGTCAGTGGTAGCATTTGCTCTAATTTTGGGGACATTTCCATTTACTTCCTGTTGTGTCTGCAGGAAATCTTCCTGGTGAAGACACAAGATAGAAATCAGACATTGACAGACGTTTTAGTTCTTCACTAAAAAAAAGTGTCCGGAGTTACACTAGGTTATAAATTATATTAAAAAAATGTTTTCTGGTAGACTGTTGATTGTGGGTAAGGAATGATGACATCATGATAATGTTGTGGCACAGTGTTGATATAATTGTAGGTGAGGCATGATGAGAACATGGCAATGTCCTGATACAGTTACATAGTAGATAAGGGTAAAAAAATTGCACAGGTCCCTCCGGTCCAACATGTGTGTGTGTGTGTGTGTGTGAGATTAGGTTCTATTCTAAGAGTATACATCTGAACTCTTCTGGATGTTCCGCTATTAGACAGTGTCTCCCGGACACACGGGAGAGAAACATTTTCTCCCTGAAAGGTTTACTCTGCTCGATCTGCTGGGTTTTTTTTCTTGACATCGGGGCCGCCGTCATTCCGAAAAAAATAAATAAATAATGGCATAGGAACGAATAGCTACATTGCTATTGGCTATTGCAAATTGAAATAGCCAATAGCAGACTAGCTATTGCACCCACCCACTGCTGCCTTCAATCAGCAGAGGTGGACCTGAAATTCTCTATCAGGTCCTCCTTTACTGACTGACAGCAGCAGAGGGCGGGTGCCATAGCCAGCTTGCTATTGGCTATTGCAAATTGAAATAGCCAATAGCAATCTAGCTGTTCATTCATATGCTGTTTTTTTTATTATTCTGACGGCAGCAGCTGTCAGGATACTAAAAAAACAGCAGATAGCAAGGGAAGGGTTAGCTTCTTAGCTATCTGCCATCATTTCAGAGGGGTGCTCTCTTACTTGTTGTTGCACCCCCACCCCGCAGGTGGGGGTGGGTGGGGACAGAGGGCACCTCCCTGAAATGAGAAGGGCACCTCCCTGAAATGACTTATTTCAGGTTGGGATCCCTGATGCATATTCCTATATTTTGTGCTAATTGAGGAAGACATCTAGAAGTTTCTGAATAGGTCATTGCTTCCAGCAGTTACCTTTACCTGGGACAGATCCCCTCTGCCATTCCAAAAGAAACCTTCTGTCTTTTAACCTTAAATTGTGCCCATGTGTTCTCTTCAGAGCCCTAAGATTCATTAGGTTGTTATCACCAATACAGTCACCATTGATTAATTTGAGCATACTCTCTAAGGTATCTTGGACCCTTTCCAATTCTAGGACATCCCTTCTATTAATTGGGGACCAAAACTGAACTGCATACTCAAGAAGAAAGTCTTCTAAACCTTGCTCATAAGTCACTAGTAGTTTTTTTTTTTTTAAACAATGTAAAGGGACCAATGTGACCCCACCAATGCCAGATGTATTCCAAGTGCCATCCATGTATGGGCTCCACCCCACACACCCTCTACTGGAGTCTCCTTGAATGGTTACACCCCAAGCCTAGATGTTGAGGGCGCACAGCTATGCCATTGGTGGCGGTAGATCTCAATGCCAGGCAGTCACACATTGTTAGAAGCCTAGCAGAGATTCAATACCTACCATAATACACCCAAAACCTTAAAATCTTTTTTTTTAGTCAAAGTTCTCTTTTAAAGATACTAAAAAATTCACAAAGCTGTTAATAAAAACTCATTTATATAAACCGCCTTGCAATACACGTTTAGTGGCCTCTTAAATTTGCTGCTGGATAGTTATAAAACCGCACGTAGTCCTGTCGTGGCTTTTGCCTAGCTCACTGTAGCAACATCGCAGTGTAGTCTAGTTCTTCACCACCGACCGCCTTTGCTTTAATTGCTCCGTAGCACGACAGTCTACCTCTCCCCTCCTGTGTGATTACAGTGGTTTGGAGAGTGAGGGCAGTCAGGGCCGGGGCTGCAGCAGGTTAATCAAAGGCACACACTGTTCAGAGCATTGTTCTGCTCTCGCCTTCATTATATCCGCCGCTCACTGCATTACTGTAAGAGCTGAGCATCTCCACCAGCCTGACATGTTCAAAGCTTCTTCAAGTCCAATTACTTCCCAGTGCACTGGCTGCACTTTCCAATTTTCTTGCTTTATGCGGATTCTTTTCTTCTTTTTCAGCCTGATCCATCTGACACAGCAGCAGTTTTCAGTGCTCACCCACCAGCCAGCCCTCCCTCTCGCTCTCTCAAGCTTTGATTTGTGCAGTATTTCAACAGAGCACAGAGAAAGTACAAATCCCCTGCTCTCTGCCTACTAGAAACGGTGTGCACACTGTCAGCTGCCACCTGTGTTTTAGGACCGACCTGGCAAGAACGATCCTCACATACTTGGCTCTTGTGTGTATGTGTCATTAGAAGGTAATGGTATGTGACAAGTAACCATTCAAGTTGTAGCAGATTCTCTACATGAACCAAAAGCTTGTATCCAGTCTCTGTAGAGTTCAGAGCGTCACACTGCTGCCCCTCCTGTCTCTGAGTAACCACAAGTCCCAGCAAACCCACTCTACAACACATGTAGTCTGACACGTAGATTAGCCACCTCCCTCGCCTCTTGGTGCTGACAAACGTATATCCCCAACAAATACAATATACAGTGTACTTTTAAAAAATGCATTCAATTTCACAAACACTGTTTGTTTCATATTGAGGCACATTTGTTTCCCTTTTTCTGTCCATTCAATGGTGGACACATAGTATGAAAACAAAAAATTCAAGTTTAACTGTATCCACTCAGTGCCCCTGGATGCCGCTACATCTGCTGTCTTGCACACATATCTTCAGGGAGTCTCACTCTATTAGATAGCGGCTCCCTGACGTCCGCAAGAGAGGCATTTTCTCCCTGAAAGGTTTACTCTGAGTAAACCTTGCCGATAAGATATCAGTGGGTAAGGTTTCAGAGTGAGGCTTGCCTCCTGGAGGAAGGTCATGTGATCTCTAGAGTAGCCTCAGAACGAGGCTTGCCTCCTGGAGGAAGGTCATGTGATCTCTAGAGTAGCCTCAGAATGAGGTTTGGCTCCCAGAAGGAAGAAACTACTTGCTGCACAGAGAGGGCGGACATAGACTACTATTGAGCCGGTACAGGCACTGCTGCAGGGTTGAGAGAGTGCTGTTAACCCTTTGTGGATAATATAGAATCAATTATATGTCCTGGTTGTCTAGTTATAGAGAACATTTATTTCATTTGCTGCCCATAGCAACTAGTCAACTGTGTATCAGGGACTTTACTCCTCAGCATTTTTTTATAAAGGGCTGTCTAATAAATTGTGACCTTTACCCTGACAGATACTTGAACATCAATTCACAAATCTGATGTGTGTGTATATATATATATATATATAATTATTATTATCATTGACCTCCCTGAAATGAGATGGGAACCTCCCTTAAATAAGGTTTTGCAGGTTGGAATGTCTGGGTCAGTCATCAGGAACATTGTTGTCTGAGGACCATCCAATAGACAGCACACCTCCATAAAAGACATTCTAGAATTCTGACCAACCACACAGCATATACAACTGGTGCACATGTAAAACCAACAAAATGGTGGTCTCCAGTGGTGGTGCTAAAGGGACATGATAGCATACTATAGGCTCAATCATCAATCATTACACATGAATAATGATCTTTAGTGAAAGTTCTTTCAAGAATTACTTTAGGAACATTAAACAGCCATATAACACATGTACCTTGATAAATACATAGCACAATATTTGACAACTGGCATCACACCAGTTGTCCAGCAATTAGTATTGGAAACTACCATCCATTTACCAGTGACGCCATGCAATTCATTGTTCATTTCATTTCAAAGTTGAACGAACCCTTTAAAGTAAAACTGTTATACAGCAAACAGGTTGTATTAATTACATAATTGATTGAACAGTATTCACCCCCAATTACCAAATGGTATAACTTGCTGGAAGATCCCCTGAAACCAGGAAACAAGGTGTAAAACCTATGGAGAACCACACTGCACTGTGGGATGCAGGGATGCATTGTGGTCCTGACTGAATCAGGAAGTGGAATACTACTGCCTAGTGTTCTGGTAAGTGCCTATTTTATCCCATGCTAATGACAGGTTTGCTTTAATCTAATTGGTGGATACAGGGAATTAATTCAATAGATCATATACATATAATCAATAAAGGTAACAATAATTATAATTATAGTGTTTAGCGAGTGAGAAATAATTGCTTTCTTACGTCCTGATTGGACATGTCCCAGTATGGCCGTTCTCCGAATGACATAACTTCCCACATGACAATACCGTAACTCCAGACATCGCTGGCCGATGTAAATTTGCGATAAGCAATAGCCTCTGGTGCTGTCCATCTCACTGGGATCTTCCCCCCCTGAGAAAAATAAATAATAATGATGTTAATACTGATTTGGCTAAGCATCAGACATTATTAGGTAAGCTGAACTTCGGCATAAGCATATATCATCTAAATATAAGAGTTGTGTGTATTTTTACTTGAATCTTGGTGAGCTTTGTCTAATGTCAAGAAAGTAGATTAGTTCCACTCTGAATTTATAAAGGAAACGTTACGATAATTCAGAAATAGGATTAATGGTATTGTTCGCTCTCAGAAATAAATAGAAAGATATCAACACTGGTGGACCAAAGCCAAAAGAATAGACAATGAAACAGGTATGCAGTGGACAAAAGCACAAGTGGTCAACTGCAACTGTGACTTGGGTGAAATCCCAACTTCAGCCAAGATGTTTATTTAAAGTGTATGCATATCCAAAACTTGTTTTATTTTTTATATCTCCCTTTACTTGCTCCCTCAATAGATCTCCCTTTACTTCCTGGAACTCTGGCACATGTGACTAGAACATGTGACCATGTCCATCATCTCAGAGAAGAAAAATGCCTTTCCCTGAGATCTAGTGAGATTACAGATGAGATTTCCCAGCAATGCTCTGCTGATGTAGCCTTCCCAGGATGCAACGCTTAGATACATTACATCACTAATGCCCAAGAGGACCAGGAGGTGGAAACACAATAATTGTAAGTAAAATGATCAATGAATGTAAGATGATTTCATATGAGCATGCAGAGGGGATATTTAGTGAAAGGGGGTAAAGGTCCACTTTGTAGGCCACTTCTGCATAGGTGGTCCAATCAGATCCGCCTGTCAGTTTTTCAGGTGGACCATATCAGAAGCTCAATGTAACTGTATGGGCAGTCAGATGTAAAAGGACCTGTGTCTGGATATGTTTAAATTCCCCTAACTCTATCTAGGTCCAGAACAAAAACGGAACAGAGTTCCATTTTAGGACCTCATCATGATGGATTGGAGGTAATCAGATGTAAGCGAACACATGTCCACTTACATTCGACTCCCCATAGACTCTTGCGATAGAGGAAAAAACTGCACAAAGACGGCTGTCACTTTTGTTCTGTACTGGTCTGATTAGCAAGGGATCTGTGTATGAATCTTCTGATCGGAAGCAATGGCACCCATGTGAAAGGAGCCTAATGTGGTTCATGGAACTTTGAGAACCGCTGCCATAAGTTATGACTAAAACAACAATAGAAATGTTATAAAGTAACATAAATCTGTCTGAATATAAGCATACATCTTTATATGGACACTCCATTCTCTACTAGCTGTACTGAAATCCAACATAATAAAAAAAATATTTGTACCACAAGGTTTTGTGTCTTCTTTCATAGTCCTCGATGCACAACATGGACATTGTATGCATTAGCAGCACAACAGACACAGCCAGCACTACAACAATGCACATGTCAACACTAGGAAGGACACAGTGGACTACCGTACAGAATGAGTGTTCATTATAATGCAAATTCAACAATTCCTGTTCCTTCTGAGAGGGACTGTATCTCAAAGCTCAAGGTGGCAGCTCCCGGCACTGAGCAAGTCTATTAATATTGCTGCTTATTTCAAGGGCAAAGGGAGGCTTGACTTAAAGAAATGCATTTAATCTAGTGTGATAAAGACATCTCATTCAGGACCTCACCACATCCACCCAGCAATGAATTCTCCCCTGCATCTGACTAACATAAACTAAAAAGTGCTTTATTCACTCATCACTTCTGAGAAATAAGCTATGCATTATGGATAGGATTTAGATGGGATTATAGCAAGCCAAAAAAAAAAAAAAAGGGAAAGAGGGGGGGGAAAAAGGAAGCAACAAGAGGATCTGTAACGCTGACCAGATGTGAGTAGAGCCCAGAGACAAATCAGTTTCATTTAAACACTTCATCTCCATTATGTCTGTTGAGCGGAGATTTGCCATTATCTGGTGTAAGAGGAGGTATGTGCGGCTTTGTTCTTTTATTTAACAAAGATGTATTCTTAAGGCACCGGCTCCTGAATTTTATGACTATTTATCTTGTGGATTAACCCTTACTAAGGAGGAAGATATATAATTTCTACCATGAAATTTGGAAAACGGAGATTGTAGATCGTCAATCAATAGTGTACTGAATTCCAGTGCTTAGCGTGTTCATGTCTTTCTCGCTGTCTGCGGTGCCGCATTGCTCTGTGTACGGAATTACTGCAAAACCAAACTGTGAGCAGATAAACACTTGACAGGCTTCATACTGTCCCACAGATCATCCAGAAGCTGTACTAGTATCAGACAATTGTGTTCAATGCTGTGTTTTTTCTTTTCACATAGCATGTCTATATAATGTTATGCAGGGGGCACAGTCTACCTGCTCAAGGCCTCAGTTTTTCTTCCAGTCACAGCAATAATGCGCTAGCATGCCCAACTCCTTTTGCTACTAATATGGTAATCTGGGAACGGCTTTTGGTTACCTGTTTGTAATGCAAATCAGATATTCCCAAACATACCTACTGAAGACTCCTTACTGTTTCCCATCTTAGGAAATCCGGAAATATCACAGTGCTAGCCCTAAGCTCTCCGTAGCTTGGGACTCTGAATTTGATGGGTGATTCATCAAGCAGAGAGAGAAATAGGAGCCAGCACATGATTCAGAAAGCACACCTACCAGTTCAACAAACTGAATGAGCCCAATAGTGCTGACTGCTACATGCTATACATTGTACACTAAACTGCAGAAGGAGTTTTCTGATAAAGCATATCAAAATAAAATGTCATGTTTTCCAAGTAAATAATTCCTTTTAATGGCTGCAGCTAATTCTAGACCTGGAAATTTAAAGAGACCTTGTCACCAGACCATTAATTTCAACAAAAATCTTCCCATATGAATATATATATATATATTTGAATTTAACGCACAGTAATATACAAATTGTTTAAGGAAATGATAAAGGACTATCTACAAGACTTTGTATGTGGTAATGGTATGATAAGTGACAACCAGCATGGATTTATGAAACACCGTTCTTGTCAGACCAACCTACTAACATTGTATGAGGAGGTGAGTAGCAACCTTGATGTAGGAAAGCCAGTGTATGTAGTGTACCTAGATTTTGCTATGCTACTGCATAAATGCTTAATATACAAGCTACAATCTATGGGCATTGATAAAATGGTGTGTACCACAAACAAAAAACAACAACGAGTTTTAACACTTCCCTGCTCTAGACAACATTTTGGTTTAGATCTACTTCAAGCAAGAAGACCTACTACTGGAGTGCCCAAGAGCTACAATAAATCATCGGATGGTTTAACTCTACAGCATTAATCAAAGTTAGAAATATTTGTTTTGCACTGACCCTTTAAATAATCCTAACAATTTCCTTTAAAAACACAAATCAGCTTACCAAGGAGCTGGTGTACGTTGGATCTGACGTATCATCCTGCAGATAGCGAGACAGCCCAAAGTCAGACACCTTGCACACCAGGTTGCTATTCACCAGGATGTTCCTGGCTGCCAGGTCTCTGTGCACATAATTCATTTCCGACAGATACTTCATGCCAGCTGCAATCCCTCGAAGCATTCCCACCAGCTGGATCACTGTAAACTGCCCATCGTTTTGCTAAACAAGATTAAAAAAAAAAAGGTATTAATAATCTACTTTGGATATTTACCATTAAAATGTCCAACTCAACCTTCTTTACAAAATGTTCTTCTGGAACAGTATAATTAGATTTATTCTGAATAGAATAACTTCATGTACCCTTTATACAAGTTCTGTAATCCCAGGGCTGAAAATCCTTGTTCAGGTATTACCTTTCTTTCTGCACCATAAAACACCAAGGACTTTATATTCGGTACATTCAGCTAATAAACAGGCTAAGCATACAGAAGCTGCTATAGTACAGCTGGACGCAAAATACAATAAGCCACGCTCACTCTGTTCAACGCGAGACACAAGGGAGACTAAGGACAAGGTTGGTTGTAATATGAACACTGCGGAAAGTAAGGCAATAAATGATGGTCATTAGCAAAAGAAAGTTATTATACAGCTAAGTGAGGCCATGGACACAAAATTGCCTTGCTCTCCCATGTTTTTGTTTAAATGAGACACTGAGGGTGGTATAGCATACTCAAAATTGGCCTCATAGATAGTATAGATGAAAGTAAAATTACATAAATAATGCTTTTTTCCAGCACCTTTTTTTCTGGCTGAACTCCAGGCAAATATAAAAGACGCAAGTAATGCAGCTCTGTTTTAAATAGCACATCATTAAATTAAATTTTAAATGGCAGCAGTGTAAGTATCTGAATGTGACTTGGTATCAGCCTTTTGTATGGCAGAGGTCAGACTTGGAAAAGGAGCAGCACAATGAGTGCTTGCCTGGAGTTGAGCTTTAGTATTCTGTGTGGGCACAGCTGTCATGATCTAGATAGGGAATAAAAGATATCTATGCTTTCCTACTCTGCCCCATGTCACAGGAAAAGGGATGGTTGTGTAAACATGCCTTAAGCAACAACATACCATTACCAAGTTAATGCTTTTGTAGAATTCCACTAAAATGTTATTTACAGATCAGCGTGGCTTGGAATTTTGCTGCATCTCTACTTACTAGTGTAGATGAGCCATGTCCAGACATCTATTGCAACATTTATATAAGCTTAATTTATATAAACTGACTATGCATGGAAAAGGTAAGTGGCCTAAGATAGGACATTTGGTCTACTTTGACTCAAGTAGTTCGACATCCTAACTCTATGGATGGAGTCATAATTAATTCAGCCGCAGATACTTTCCATGTCATCAGGAGGGTAGGCAGTTGGAATGGTCAGTTGTCAGGACTAATCAATTTCTTAAGGCATAAGTCTGATTAAAAGGTAAGGTGGGTTGGTAGGAAGTTAACTGTTTTTCCCAGCCCAATATGATAGATTAGCTTCCACCATAGTAGGCTTTCCCTTAAATCCCCCAGTGACACCATCCCGCATCACATGAAGGGATAACCAGTCACCTGATGCCTTCCTCAGAGATGTGCCCATTTTGCAAGCCACAGATTTCAGGGATCCACTGCACTGCAGCCACTGTAGGTGCCATGTGGTGCCCAAGTGGCCACACAGTTAACAGAAGTATGTGAATTTTAAACCACATCTAAATCAACTTAAAGGAGAATGCATAATAAATCACTTCTAGTCATTTAAATACCAACTGCACCAAAATAAAAGGTCTGGGTGCACCGCTGGTAGTCGCCATTTGTGTTTCCATTAATGTTCATGAATAAAGTCTGTGGAGGAAACCCCAAAATGATTGGATGAGCATACATATAGTTTTCATATACACAGAATCTGTAGACCTATAAACTTGATTAGGAGAGGATCCAGATGGCAAGAGTTCTCAAACCCTAATACAGCTAGGCCTGATTGCTAACTGCTCAGCCACCACATCGTAATATGGTCACATTGCTCCCACATTTACTCCAAAAGACAGAAATATTCATGCAGCAGAATCCTTTTGGAATGTATTGAAAAAGCAAATCTTTGCTTCAACATAAAACTTGACGACATAAACAGAAAATCCTGACAGGAACACAAGTGCGTAGAGAGCAGGTGATACGTTTGACAGATTCCCCTGGCACACATAGGCTCCTATGTATTTTGTACAGGTGCATTGCTATCCAGGCTCTGCTCTACTCTGTGTTATCCTCCTTCTAAGACACAGGAGGCCCCTAAGGACTGGATCCTATAACCTACTTTCATGAGGAACCAAGGCTCCAATTAATGTCCCTATTTTTATCTTGAGGCTGAAATTAGATTTTTTTAGGTCATCTGCAGCTAGCATTTGGCTGGTACTTAATCTTCACAATCACACTGCAGTGTCTCCAGACAACTTCATCAATATAGGACAAGGATGTTCACTATGTATATTCGTCTGTGTGTGTCTGAGCAGAACCTTTTATTAAAAGAAACAAATATTAAAAAGCACATCTCTCTAATTTCAATGTAAGATGGTGACAAGAGTGTCTGCAGAAAATGAAGAGGCTATTTAACATGACACATGCAAACATTGCCCATGCATTGTGTCAAACAAATTTAACCACTTGTCCAGTGTTATGAAATCAAACATATCTTTGGTTGCATTAAGGCTTTGCACCCATTATAGAAAGCTTTGGTACTCAGGATGTAAAGACTCCAGTATGACGTGTGCTCATAGCATAGCAAGATAGGAGTCTATGGATTTGGCTACTCCTTCGATCTAGGTCAGGGTAGCCAAGCTTCTTCAGTAGTGTAACAACTTCAAATAGGATTGTGGAAATAAGCAACTATAAAAGCTGGCAAAGCAAAGCAGTGTTACAACTGATGAGTGCTCCATTTACTATGCTACAGAGCAATGATGTGCAACCTTTACATTTCAGCTCACAGAATTAAAATGAAAGGAATCCTATACACAAGAAGTTTGGAGTATGTAAAAGATGGTAAGGAGTGGCTTACCCGCAGGAAGGAGTCCAGCGCACCATTTTCCATGAACTCAGTAATGATCATAACAGGTCGGCTCTTGGTCACCACACCCTCAAGTCGGATGATGTTGGGATGATCAAACTGGCCCATAATGCTTGCTTCACTCAGAAAATCCCTTCTTTGCTTTTCAGAATATCCAGCTTTAAGTGTTTTTATAGCAACATAGATTTCCCTCTTCCCAGGGAGCTTCAGACGGCCCTTGTACACCTCCCCAAACTCTCCTGTGGGACAGAAACAAACATGTCACTGAGCACTAATGTACATAAGATGTCTGTGATCAAAGAGGATGTCAGAGATCAGAGGAGTAAGTAAGAATTCCTTCTGATCTCTGGCATCCTACTTCATATTTCATGGTGATCCCACATACTGTCAATTAATTCCACTTTGTTTATACTTCGTTCTCTTCCAACACTACTAATAATATATTTCCATTTATTAATTTAGAACAGTTACATTTGTAAGGCGAGTACCTATGTGCAAGTCAATCCAAAACGTTGTTGTTTGTTTTGGATAGAATGGGGAAGGGCTAGAACTGCTGTTGGGTTTTTACTGCTATCTGGGGCTTCGTTAGAGGGCCTCTTAACAAGACCTAAAGACCAATCCCAGTCTCCATGTCATAATGTTTAGGTCTCTATATTATATTTCATGAACAGAAAAAGGAATTACCTTAAAAGAAATTAATAGTGTTTTAGTAAATAATTTCTTTATCTAGTATGTTCAGCATGAAAACATTTGTATTTGTTTATACTCAGATAAATGTTTACCAATGACAGCCAGCTGGAGATGTTCTTTAGGCAACTTTGCAAGTCTTCCCCAAACTATCCCACTGTTAGGCTGTGAATAGTTTAAATAGTCAATGTTGTGGAAATATTTGAATAGCAGGACATCAATTTACACATACAAGTCCTTTCCCCCCTCTTCTACCTGATATGGATCTGTATAGAGTTTTGGTTATGCACAGGCAGTCATCACAGAAAAGGCAGAAGTGCTGGTCTTTCTTATTAGACAGCCATTACAAAAACCTTCAAAGAACAACATATTACATACTATTAAATTACATTTTAAAATGGTTTATTTGTAAATATGTTTTAAAAATAATGTAATGATGCTGCATCCATGTATTTTCCTTGATGTACTGTACATACTAGGTAAATATATTGCTATCACAAGGAGGCCAGGTTTGTCCCTTTGGCACATTGTAACTATTGCCATAGCTGATAGAAATAGTAGAAATGCTCTTGAAGGTTTGTGGAAAAATAAATGCCCACCTGCCCCAATAACCTCTTCAATTTTCACAAAAGAGACGTCAATCTCCTTAGCAAATTCCCTCACAGCTTCATTGGGATCTTCATATGTGAAGGGGTCGATATAAATCTTCATTCCTGGAGAGCCTGAAAACAACAGAACAGAGATACGTTAGCTGGATGTCCTTTGGTAATTAGTCCTTTCTTAAACCACAATAAAAGTGTTAAATGTCCTGTTTTTGCTACCAGTATCTGCAACGTAAAGGAGCTGCCACTGTGGGAAACATAAATTATACTGCATCAGTGGCTGCTTGCCAAGATCTCTGAGGCTGCAATGGTCCTAAGCTAAGATGCTTACTGTTTTTGACTCTGAAGGGGATCTGTGGAGTCTCAGCAGAACGCTGAAATAGTTGTGTAGACGTTTAATGACTCCTGCTACAGTCAGGGGACACCAGAAAATCTACCATGCACATTAATAATATGTAAATATTTCTGTGCACATGAATTATTGAGCATACATCACCTATATACCTGGACCTGGTGCACAGGATTGTTGTGGACATTTTATTAGGAAGTGTTTTTAGTATATTGTATATGTGAATATTGTCATTATGTCTCTCAGTGTCAGGTTTGCTGGGCTACGCTCTATGGAGCGTGGCCCGGAATTAATCAGCACTGGGGGTAAACCATTGGAGTAGATATCTTCCTGTGGATGTGGAGATGCGGCGGCTGTGTGCAGAGGTCTCCGCTGGCGAATGGTCCATGTGCTATGCGCTGGGCTGTTGGCCAGGGGAGATTGATGTGCTTGGCGGAGCAGTATTTTCTTAGCGAGTGTATGGACGCCGGCTAGGGTCCCTGCGCAATGAGCGGATTTATTGGCTTGGCGTGGATGCATTTGTTTTGAGAACGCGGTATCATTTCGGATACATATCTGCCTTTATGAAAGGAACATGCGTTTATCTTTTTGGTGCATCTGATCAACGCACTGGAAATAATATGGCATTGTCCCTGCAGATAAGCTTGCATTCATGAGAACCGTAGTATTTTTATTGGGCATTGATCATTGAGCAATGCTGGATAAAGTTCGCTCCAGTGGTAACGGTGAGATTATGTGTGTGGGTCTGGGAAGATGGCGGCGTCCATAGGCAAGCATGCTGACTCCTTTGTGTAGTGTTTCTGTTGCACATGGTTTAAGTCATTTGCACCAGAGGCTATGAGCTATGCTTCTACTCTGATACAGACATATACTCCCCTTTCTATTGCATACATGTGTTTCATTGGCCGGCTCTGTGTTATGTTGATGTATTGAGGAAGCGATTGGCTGTTGGGGCCATCACTTCCGGTTTGTCATTCCTTTTGTGTGCTACAAATAAAAGGATCTGACTCCATTCAGGAGGATAGAGACTGAGGATCCAACGTGACAACAGGTCATGTCTGTGTTTCCTTGCTGAGCGCGTTCGGCCAAATTATATAAAGAGAGCAGGGAACTGTGCTTTTAAGCGCAGCGGATTTAAATACACAGGAAGCGCATATTCATTTCTATAACAGGACGAGTGGCCACAAAACTGACTGAACTGACTACATGAATCAGAGAATTTAAAATGAAAGTAGCAGATTATATTAGTAAAAGTGTCACATCCAGTGCATGTATTACTGCACTGGCTGATAGCGAAAGAAAAACGGGAAGCCACAGCTGGTAAGATTGTTTTTGTTCACCTTAAGGCTGGGTTCACAACTAGGCGGCACTGTTTTTGCGTGCTTATATGCGCTTTAACAGCAAGTGGTTATTTGCACATTTATGCGCGTTGTGCACATTTGTATGCGCGTTTTAACACGCGTAGATGAAAACGCGCTTTTTGATTGGCAGCTGATAAAACATTGAGGGCAATGGAAGAACGCGCGTATAAACGCTCAAAAACGTTCATGAAAATGTACAACATGCTTTTGCTGCGTGTTTTTGGGCATTTCCAATTACGGCTACGGGGAAGAAAAGTGATTTTAACTGCCCAAAAAAGCTCCTGTATCTTTTTGGGCATTTTTCTACTGGCGTCTTTCTGCTCAGGTGTGAACCAGGACCATTGAAAATCATGGGATTTTTTGTGTTGGGCAGTTAAAAGCGCTTTTCGAACTGCTCAAAAACTCCTAGGTGTGAATCAGGGCTAAAGTAAACCTGTGGCTAGGCTATGGGAATATAGGCATTATTATGTTCTTATGCAATTATGTGGGCTTTATAACAAAGCATTACTAACCTCTGTAGCTGCAAGATCTGTGGAATAATTAATCCTCAAACTTTATAACAAAGGCACTGAAGTTTCATACTGTAGCAGCATGGACTTTATATTTCTAAGATAAACCAGTGCAAGTGCTGTAAACCGTTCAGAAATTACTGCAGCCTCATTTCAAAGTCTCTTTGGTAAACTTTGAATATCATTTACTCACAATGCCTGCATATACAGAGATCAGGAAGGGCATGTTTTAAAAATAATTTATAGTTTGTAAAAAATATGTATATTCTTGAATGTCTATAACCTGTTTACAGGTTAATCTTTAGCAAATATGAGGGTAAGGTCTAGCTAAGCTCATTCTCAATTTAGTACCTATAACTCTCAGTCTTGAATTTTAATGGATGACCTTAGTAAATTTGCTTGCAGAGGTACTTTTATCATGGTGTATGGGATTACACATAATGTTTGAAAATGTGTGCAGTTTGCTTTTTTCCAAGTTGCTAAAATACAGGTCCCCTTTGCTAGCTTGGTGCAATGGAATTTTCTTTTAAATATATAATCCACGCGCATATATATATATTTTTGGTATATGTTGATGCTATAACATCTTCAGTTTCAGTCCAGCAAATATTTATTTACTGAACCTCTGCTTGTGCAGGTTCGCTTTCCTATCTCATCTATAAAAAATGATTTCTGTGGATCTGACAATCTTTCAGAGGACATGATTAAATCTTCTTCAGTCTTTACCCGGCATGTGAGGAAATGAAGATTCCATATTGCTGTGACACTAGATCTT